GGGAAATTATTAGAGTCAGGAAAGGAGTTTTTAATTTACACAACTTCTGCCAAAAATCGTATCTTTGAATTGGGCTTGGGATGCAGAATTGACTGCCCTCTGGGCTGCATTGTGGAGCCAATATTTTTTTCCCAAAATTCAGCAAGCCAGACTCTAAGACTCTAAGGATGGGTGAGATGGGTAAAGCAGAGAACTGATGGGTGCTTAGTGGTGTTATTCTGATCTTCAGATTCTTTTTCTGAGTACTCTTCCAGCGCCATTCTCTTTCTCCTTCCTTTCTGGGACTCAGTGACACACAAGTTAGATACTCAGTTATAGTTCCACAGGTCCCTGATGTGTCTCCACCTCCCCTCCCCCCACCCCCAGCCAATTTGCTGTTTTCAGAATGGAAAATTTCTATTATTCTCTCTTCAAGTTCACTGATTCTTTACTCTGTCCTCTCTATTCTGCTGCTGAGACCATTCATTAATTTTTTGTTCTTGTGTTATATTTTTCAATTCTAAAATTTCCATTTGATTCTTCTTTATATTTTCTGTCTTTGCTGAGACTTTCTATTTTTTTCATTTATTTCAATCATGTTTATAATTGTTTGTTGGAGCATGTTTGTTGGATTCCTGTTTTAACATCCTTGTCAGATATTTCTAACCTCCCTGTCATCTAGGTGTTGGTGTTTGTTGATTACGTCACTTCATTCACATTGAGATTTTCCTAGTTCTTGGTAGGATGAATGATTTTTGATTAAAACATAGATGTCTAGATCTTATTTAAATCTGTTATAGGCCTCTTCTGGCTCAGAACTGGTAGGTGAAGGGGGGTACTGCCAAATGACAGCAAGGTGGGGTGGAAATCCATGCTTCCCATTGGCAACTGGAGAAGAGGTGATCCTCATTACTGCTGGGTATGGGTGTGGGTGGAAGCTCAGGCTTTTTGCTAGGTCTCTGCTGATACTGCCCTAGCTTGGAGGGGCATGAGTGCCTTGTTACTTCTCCTCACATGGCCTCCACCAACACCACAAGGATGAGGATGTCCTTCTTACCACTAGGTAGTGATGAAAGTTCTGATTTTCTTCTAGGCCACCCCTGACACAATCCAGTGGGGTGAGGGAGGAGCAGGGATGGAAATCCAGCTTCCCCACTGACAATTCAGGGATGGGGTTGGGTGGGGGTTGGGAGCTGGCATAGTGAAGAGCCCTGCCCCAATATGGGTCTTCTCTGATATCACGCTAGTGGAAGGGTTGGGGTGCTTCATTAGCGCCTGGCAAGGGTGAAAGTCTGTGTACCCCACTTGGCCTTTGCTGGTGAGAGTAAGGTTGGGGGCTGGGAACAGTTTTCTCTGTGGTATTTAGCTAGAGCAGGATGGTTATTTTAGAAAAGTTTTCTTTCTGATTGGGATGCTCCTTTTGGATAATGGGAGCAGGTTTATTTTACTTTAGATTTTTTTTTTTTAAGGTGCCTGTTGGTGTTTCTTAAGGTGCCTATTGGTGTTTCTGGATTACTGGCTTTTCCAGAAAGCAGTCTGGAATAACTGAAGCAAAGAAAACCCAAAACCAAAACCCCAAACCCAAAAACCTAGAGAACTTACCACTGTGTCTTTCCATGGGTCTCAAAATCTCTAGCCAGACCTTATGTTCTCTCCATCTTTCAGAGTCTTCTTATGTTGATTTTATGTCCCAGTTTGTTTGTTTATTTATGCTCTAGTTAGCAGAAGGAATAGGGAAAAGTACTCCAACTCCAGTTTTCCAGAAGTAGAAATCTCTCTGATGTCAAGATAGAGTAGCTTGAGGCTTTGCCCAACACTACCCTATCCAGCCAACCTTTGAGGTTTTAGAGGCTCAGTCGGTTCTCATGAGACTCTCACTTTTGGTTACCTGCTTTGGTCTTAATACTGAACCACTCTGAGCAGTATCTGGCTGTGTAAGAGGTGTGCTTCCTCCTGCCCAGGCTGCTACCATGTTGTAAACCCATTCCCCTACACCACCCTGATATGCTTATGTATGTATCTTCTCATTTGCTTCTCCTAAGTCCTTCCCAATGTCAATAAATGTCTGCAGTCTGTTGAGAAACTCAATAAAAATTCTCTATAGTCTGTAGAATGAGTAACAAAGGGATAAAAATAATCTCATTATGCTCTAATTTGACATGCTCTAATATTTGTTCAGGTCAAATTTAAATTTATCATTTAGTGATTTTATTTTTAAATGGGCTTATTTGAATTGTCCAAAACACCTATTTTCTCAAAAGAAAAAAAGTTTGATTTTCTTTATAAGAAAACTATTGTGTATGTGCTATATTGCTGAATAGTAGAGAAAGACTAAATGATATTAAAAATAATGGGTTAAATGAAAAAAAATCTCAGCTTCAATACTGTGTCTGTCTTGTTAGAGAATTGCTTGTGTAATTTTAATTCCACATGCCTCCATATTTGCCATCTGTTTCTTCCTGGCATTGAGAGTCAAGAAAGGCCAGACAGAAAGTATCTGAAATAAAATGGTTACTAATGCAGAAAGTGTGTTTAACCCTAGAACCCTATTATCAATTAAACTAATATTATGGCTTCATGATTTTCTTTCAAAAATAATTTTCCCCCTCTAAACTGTCTTGAACAAGCTACTTCTTGCTACCAGCCATGTCTCAAGGGATGTGTTCTGACTGGAAATTTTGAGCTTCTATAAAAGTGTTTATTAAATTTTTGAGTAATTGCATTTAATACCAACAATAAGCAATCATCATTTTCATGTTTGTTGAGCAATTGCTCCTTGTTGAACCACAAACTTTGGCTACAAAATTCAGAATAAAGGGCAAAGTACAAGAAGTTCTTTGCATGGATAAAGCAGATACTAAGAAACAAATAAACCAACCAATCAACCAAACAAACCTCAACTAAAAACAAATCGAACATGAAAATAGCATTAGAACAAGTCCAATACACCTGGGGGGAAAATAAATCATAACAACAGTGTATATTAAACACAATTCTTTTCTGAAGAGTTTATGGTCTACCTTTTCTCTGCTTTATGCATCTTTTCCCTTTTAAACTTAGGATGGTTCAAGGGGAAGAGAGATGATATATTGTTTTTACTTTTCCTTCACTTACAAAGGAAACCTGAGAGTGTGGAAGTATCTTCTGGACACATATTCTCCAATTACCTGTCCAGTGAGGGGAAATCCCTTCTCAGGATCATGTCTGTCTAAACTAGAGCAGGGGCAGAGAACTGCTCCCACTTTGATGCAAGGTTATTATTATTATTATTATTATTATTATTATTATTATTATTTTATTATTATTATTTTTTGCTAGCTTCAATTGTTGGAGAGTCTTTTCCTATATGGAGCCGAATTGTTCCTCTGTGATCTAGTTTGGTCACAGGGAGTAATTCTAGGCTCTATTCCATATGATAGGCTTTAAACGCTTTTTTCGTCTGTAGGTTAAATATTCTCGAGTTCTTCAAGGATCCTTTTTGAGAATTCTTCTAGACATTGTAGCATCATAACAACCCTCTTCTTTTAATGTTACTATGTTTATAAATGTACCTGCTAAAATGTGATTAGAAAGTCAACTTAAGAAAATTTCAATTCAGTTCAATTCAGGGAATAGTTATCAAGCACTTTTTTTTTTTAGATTTTTATTTATTTATTCATGAGAGACAGAGAGAGAGAGAGAGAAGCAGTCTCCCAAGGAGCAGGGAGCCCGATGCGGGACTCGATCCCAGGACCCTGGGATCATGACCTGAGCCGAAGGCAGACGCTCAACCATCTGAGCCACCCAGGCGCCCTTATCAAGCACTTTTGATGTGCCAGATACTCTGTTGGGCCCTGGGGCTGTGATAGTGAAACGACCATCTATCCTCCTAAAGATCACAGTTAGCAAAGACAGATATTCAATAAATAATTACAACTGTGATGAGTGTTATGGAAGAGGATGTAAAGTTGTCTAAAGTAAGGGGGATTTAATTAATCCTGGAGAGTCATGGAAGGCTTCTATGATGAGGAGACGTTTAAGTGAAGACTTGAAGCATGAGTAGAAATTAGCTGAGATAATAGAGGTTCAGGCCATGGAAGTGGTACAGGAGGAAGCTTGCAGGTTCCCAAAGTCCAAGGGAAGACACTTTTTAAGAAGAGGATTTCAAGTTCTCATGTCAGTTGGGTGGCCGCCACCATTAGGTAAAGGAGAACTCCACTGTTCAGAAAGGAGCAAGCCCTGGACTTTTCTGTCTGTGTCATGCTACCTAGCTTACACAATGATTCCTCTACTTATTTACAGCATGGTCTTTCTTTCTTTCTTTCTTTCTTTCTTTCTTTCTTTCTTTCTTTCTTTCTTTCTTTCTTTCTTTCTTTCTTTCTTTCTTCTTTCTCTCTTCTTTCTCTTTCTTCTTTCTTTCTTTCTTTCTTTCTTTCTTTCTTTCTTTCTTTCTTTCTTTCTTTCTTTCTTCTTTCTCTCCTTCTTTCTTTTATTTAAATTCAATTAGTCAACATAGTGTATCATTAATTTCGGGTATGGATGGGATAACTGGGTGATGGACATTAAGGAGGGCATGTGATGTAATGAGCACTGGGCGTTATATGTAACTGATGAATTACTGAACTCTACACCATAGTTTTAACAACTGTCCTGGTTATGTGAACATATTATCTCAAAAATAAGTGCTTTAAAGGTTTTACTTTTGAAAAACTGCTCAAGGCACACAATCCCTCTTTCTATTTGGCTATTCTACATATTTATGTGCCACACAACTAATTAGATAAAGACCAAAAAGTGTTCAATGGGTTTTGCATAAAAAAATTTATTGGTGACATTCCAAAGAGCTCCTAGTGGCTTAGTGGGAGAAGAAGTCAGATGGCAGTGTGTTGGGGAGTGAATAGGAGGTGAGCTAGTAAATACAGAGAATGCAGACACTCTAAAGAATCTTGGCTGTAGAAAGAAGAAAAGAGATAGGATACGTATCTAGAGGAAAAGAGGAATAAGAAAATGTCAGGGTGTTTATTTTTTTCTTTTTTTTTAAGGGGAGAGACTATGGCAAGATTAAATATTGCTTGAAGTTCACTACTATTTATGGCAAAGTAAGAAATATGGGGAAAAGCTTCTCTAAAAGGACGCCTCATCCATGACCTTTGGTTGTTTTCAATTTGGTTTAGAAGGTAAGTGTAAAACATAAGTAATGACATAATAGGACATCCTATAATAAAGAACATTTGTTGTGAGCTAGTTGTGTGATGAGAAAGGGAAAAAAAAGAAAAAAAGAAAATTAGGTACTAAACGTTGAAGTGACAATGTTTTCAAAAAGTGGTAGCAAACCAGAGATCAACTTGGGCTGGTGGTTTAGAAACAGAAGAGATTTTGAGGCTCATCTCCTTTACTTTCAATCACTTTGACTTTAGGCAAGTTATGCAGCTTTTCCAAGCTTCTGTTTTCAGTTTGTAAAAAGGAATCATGACGCCAAACTCACACTTTTTGTGTTTGTGAAGAGGAGATAGTTTTTGTAAAGCTCCTACTATGATAAATGTACAATAAATGATAGCTCATATAAAATCATAGAACGTGGGACTTAAATGACAAAGACACTATTACTCTATCATGGTTTGCACATAGTAGCTCTTCACTAAAAAACTGAAGAAAAGAAAGAAGGGAAATGCACAATGTGAGCAAATATATGAAGTGAAAAATATGTGTGAGGACAGATGACAAGAAATTAGATGGTTCTATAGGTGATGCCCTACAGTTTCATTGTGCTCATGATATTAGGAAAATCTGGGAGATCAGGGTACTTGGAAACTAACTAACAAACAGTAATTCATGATGTAAGTGTTAATTACATTACCTGTTATAACAGGTACAAATCTCAGTCCAAAATAAACCAGAAATGTAAGAAACATGACTTGATTCTTCTACATATCAACTAAATTTTTTCTTTGAATCTTTCTTGTTGTTTATCTTTATTTTATTATATGAATTTTTATCTCATAATCATATACATAACTCTGCAATCCAGCTAGACTTGGAGGAGCGTAAGGAAAATATGAACCCATAGAAGTGCAGTGAGAGCACAAAGATTATAGAATATTTCAAGCAGATGGGGATGAAGCGGTGCTCTCCTGAGCCACAGAAGGAATGGTCCAGTAGTTAAGATAAAATACAAGTCAAATTTATTAGATTTGTCTACAGTCAGCATTGGTGATCTTCTTGCTGGTCTTGCCATTCCTGGACCCAAAGCGCTCCATGGCTTCCACAATATTCATGCCCTCTCTCACCTTGCCAAAGACCACATGCTTGCCATCCAACCACTCAGTGTTGGCAGTGCAGTTGAGAAACTGGGAACCATCAGCATTTGTCCTGTACAAATGCCAGGACCTATATGCTTCAGGATGAAATTCTCATCATCAAATTTTTCCCCATAGATGGGCTTGCTACCAGTGCCATTATGGTATGTGAAGTCACTACCCTGGCACAGAAATCTCAGAATAATACTGCGAAAGCAGGAATCTTTATAAGGAAATCCTTTCTCCCCAGTGCTCAGAGCACAAAAGTTTTCTGCTGTCTTTGGAACTTTGTAAACACCTGGAAGGAGATGGGGCCCAAGGGCTTGCCCTCCACAGTGATGTTGAAGAACACAGTGGGGTTGACCATGGCTGGGCAGCGGGGGCAGCTCCAGGGGGTGGCATCATCTACAAGGCCTCTTTGAATCTTTAGTTTCTTAGGACATCAGACACTTAAACTGTCTGTCTTTTCCCTGGCTTGGGTCTAAGTTCCAGGGAGATGTATGTCATTTCAAGATGTTATATGACCCATCTTGTTTTTGAGTCATCTGTCCACAGAGATATTTGCTGATCAATCCATTGATTGCATTTGATCCTTGCTCCCTGATCCATACAGTAAACTACTGAGACAGCTCTCATTCTTGTCTACCTAGGGCTTCAGGTCCAACAGTCTCTCTGACGTTTTCTTGCCAGGCTTGAAAACTGAAACATCATTCTATAGCTTTTATGCTATTCCCTGGTAAGGGACTTCTCCTGGGACATATCTATGGCTTAATTTGCCTTGATGTCTAATTTGTGACTCTATCACTTCTATGGGTTTATGATCTAGGAAAAGGGACAAATATCCACATTTATTCTCTGTCTTCACATCAGGGTCTTGCCTCCTCACTGAAGTTCTAAGATGGAGAGCAGAGTCAATACTGTCTCTCTTTAAACCACCATATTTTGTCTTTCTTCTGCTGTCCCCCAGCCTAGTAGATTATTTTTCTCGTATTCGGGGGAAATCCCTCCCTTAATAATTTTTGATAACTTCCCCCAGATTCATTTTTGCTCCCCAAATAACCATTTTATGGCATTAGGATTTGGAAAAATAAACCAGGGACTCATAGGAAGCTTCTGTTTTCCACCCTACTCTGGCACACCCACATCCTCAGGAAATAACTAGAATAGACTATTTGCCTGAATTAGGTGAACAAGTGGAAAGGGAAAGTGGGAGCTCTAGGGAAAAGGCCATTTATATTTCAACATCCTGTGATAATGACAACACATTGCATTATCTTATAATTTGGTATATAACTCGTAAAAATTAAATTGAGAAAGGCTCTATATTGGTTATTTAAATTTGATCAGTGTCCTCCAGCAATGCACTTCAGCATATTTTTATTCATCTGAATTCTTTACCCATATTGTTTGGAGAAATGTGGACAAAGAATTCAGATTAGTTGGCAGAAAGGTTAACGTCTGGCGATCACAATTCTGAGATTATAGTGGCTACATTTTTAGATGGTTATATGGATCTTACAGCTCATTTTACAAAGGAGATTAGCACAATCCAGACTTTCTTCTCTTGGAAAAGTCTGGAAAAGTCAATATTGATTTTTGCCCAAGGTTCTTGGTTGCTTCCCAAGGGCATAACATTACTTTTTGCAGTTTTGTGCTAAGTAGTATAGCATATACTATTTTTACTTAACTAAAATTTTATTCAATATAAAATCAATTAACAGGTTGGTAGATTTTCACTTTTAGTCAATGCATTCGTGGAAATAAATTTCTGATCTTGCTTTGAGGAACTGACAAAATATCAGGATGAATTCCATTTAATTTTTGAAATCTAAGGAGTGTTACATGGGTTTGTAATTGCTTTTGTTTCCCAGGCAGTTTCTCTACTAGATATTCTCTCCACACCAACCTCAGGGTAGGTTAGCATCCTTCAGAGACACCTATAGGATTTGATGTTCTAGCATCAACATTTTCAGTGACACAGGACAATGAAATTGGGGATTGGCAAGGTAATGACTCATGGCATAAGTATTCAATATTACTTTTCTAAATGTCCAAATAAATATTTGGTTCTAGGCTTTAGACATAAACCTCCAGTGATACCAGAAGGATTCATGGTTAAGGGTAATATGGCCCTCCAGGGAAGTTTCTAAAGAAGCTTGTCATCTATACTAGCTGTAAAAGCTCAAGTGTGAGTGCAGCTGTAAGACTTCTTGCCCCCATGACAGCAGCAGGGATGTTGTTAAAATATACTTCTATTCAAAGTGTATCTGGTGTTATTCTTGAACAATTGATGTCTCTGGGCCATCTGGCATTTCATGGCTAGGCACTGCACCAGCACCATGTGGTGAAGTGCTAGGGGCAGGAAATTGTGGTTTCTTTCATTGTTTTGCTAACAAAGACTCAGAAGTCAGTAATTGTTTGACATTTCTGAAAGTGTCTTCCAGTTGGAGTGAATGCACTTAGACAATGAAATAATGAAAGGGTTGTGCAATAAGTTTGTGTGTGTATGTGTGTGCAATATACAAAGTCACCCCAGAGGTATGTGATGGTCTGGTTTTGTTTCTGGAGAAGATAAATTACAGAGTAGTATGATTGCCAGCACACCTCTGTCTGAACTGAAGTAGTTCAAGCAAACACACATTTTAAAAGGTTAGGATTTCATTTTTCCATTCTCTTCCTGACTCAGATACATGATATATAAAAGTGAGGGAGGCCTCTTGAATTCTGCCTGAGTGTATCTGATATGAGTCTTGCAGTTTGGACACATTCACAGAGGATAACATACCAAGAATCCTAGGTATCAGGGCTTTTATCAGGAACGTTAGAAAATTCTAGGCATAGACCTTCCAAACCACCGTACCCAGAATGTCTCTCTGTAGGTGTCAGTTTAATGTCTGTAGTAGTGTCTGTGATAATCAAAATCATTGCTGCCTTTGGCCAGAACTTCATAGAGCGGCTAACTATGGGTTGGACCATACATTATATTTAAAGTCAGAATGATGGAGTTGAAATTTCTTGAGTCAAAAAGACAGGATGAATTTGGGCCCTGACACCCAATACATCTGAATAGGGGTAAATTACGAAACCCACTTGAATATTAATTTCATTATGAAGACAATAATAACTTCCTTAAAGCATTGTTTTATAGATTAGTTGAGAAAAGAAATATGAGGTCACAGACCTAGATTTAGGGCTCAATAACTTTAAGATGAATCTTTTTAAGTAAATGTTCAATTACCTTAAGAAGAAAAAATCCTCATTTCTAATACTTTTTTTTTTTTAAACAAATAGATACTCTTAACAGAGTTAGAGTAAGAGGGGTGTGCCTTTCTACCTGATTTTTCTTTTTCTTTTTTTTTTTCAGACAATGAATGTCATTTCCCCCTAGACTTCTAGTATGATAGAAAGGATAAGGGTTTTGGATTTGTGTGTGTTTGAATTTTCCATTTGTTTCAGCCTCTTAGATTTTAAGAGATGGTTGTCTGTTGCATGAGAGGAGAGGTTGCAAGAAAGCAGTGGTGATCCGCTTTGCTTCAGCAAAGTACAGAGAGTGTGAAATGTCTAACAAGGTGAAGGCCTTGAATAATGTTGCCTTTGAAACCCATTCCTTTGTGGGAATACATTGGCTACTCTAAAAGATAGTCTGCACTGGTCAGTTTTCAACTGGATATTTGGTCCACGTGGACATATCCAGCCTTCAGTTTCCAGAAATCTTTCTGGGTCATTTGGCGTTGCTTTACATTGGGTAGGAAAGAAGCTAGCCCTCTGAGCACTTGCTTTTGAAAAACTCTCAGTCTTGAATGATTGGAGAGACATCCATTTTTATTCTGAAATGACTTGATCATTTTAACATTCAATCATTTATTTATCCATGAATTCAAGTTCTTATTTATTCAAATATTCATATTCATGCATTCAAGAAATAACTTAAATGCTGGCACAGCTAAGGCACTGGGCTAGATCATCTGATTTGAGTCATTCGCCTGGACAAATGTTCAATGTGCCCATTAGGATTGTGGGATTGCTAGTTTGTATTAGGATTTTCCAGAGAAACAGAACCAATATGTTTGTCTCTTTCTTATGAGAAATTGGCTCATGCAATTATGGAGATTGAGAAGTCTAAAAATCTGAAGTTGCTAGGCTCAACACCCAAGAAGAGCTGCTATTTTAGTTGGAGTCTGAAGGCAGGAAAATAACAGTATCTTGGTTCAAGGCAGTCAGGTGGGATGGGTTCTCTTTTACTTGTGTGAGGGCCAGCCCTTTTGTTCAAGTCTTCAACTAATTGGATGAAGCCCATCCACATTACGGAGAGCAATCTGCTTTATTTAGCTACTGAATCAAATGTGAATCTCATTTTAAACCACCCTCATGGACATACCCAGCATAATTTTTGACCAAATATCTGGGCAACCCATGGCGCAGTCAGATTGAGACATAAAACTAATCACCACACTGTTTTTATTGTTGAAATAATGAAATGCTGAACTAAAAAAGTTATGTTACAAATCAAAACTTGTCTTTAAAATGTTTATTTTCCTGAGCTTGATAATTCTCCTTTAGAGAGTCTGTCATTTCCTCTCAGCTTTAGAATTTATTTTAAGTTTTCTTCAAAATTCCAAGTACTCCTAAAAGTTATTGACCAATGTCCTGCTTTAGAATCCTCCTAAAGTTTGTCTTTTTGACTGTTATTAAGATATTCAAATATATATCTAGCCCTAGGAAAGAACAAATGTTACTTCAACTTTCTTAAATTTTTTATATTACATATGTCTTCAGTAGATATTTCACACTTTCCTGTGTGCAGAACTTCCACTGGAACGATGATCTCTATTCAACTGCCATAAAACAACTCCCACACCAAGAAAGCTGCCTTGGATTTTTATATATTTTTAAGCAGGTTCATAAAAAATAGGTCCCTTGCCCTTTTGTAGAGAGGAAAGAGCAATAAATATATTTAATATCATTCAAAGAAGTATGAACATAAAGTGAACTTCATGCATCCTGATTCTAATTACAAATCATTCTCGCTCTTTTTAGGTCACATCACATATAATTAGATTCAGTCAGAGGTTACCTTTAAAAGCAAATTCTTGACCCAACCTACTTGTTTTCTCCAACTTTCTTTTTTTTTTTTAAAGATTTTATTTATTTATTTGAGACAGAGAGAATGAGAGAGACAGAGAGCACATGAGAGGGGGAGGGTCAGAGGGAGAAGCAGACTCCCTGCTGAGCAGGGAGCCCGATGCGGGACCCGATCCCGGGACTCCAGGATCATGACCTGAGCCGAAGGCAGTCGCTTAACCAACTGAGCCACCCAGGCGCCCCATTTCTCCAACTTTCTTGTCTCCCACCCTTAGTCCAGTTAATACCTTAATTAATGAATTTTTCATTTCAATTATTAGAAATCTTATACCCTTGTTTTAGGTCTCTAGGGCTTGACCACTAGACTTCTTTCATAAATAAATTCCAACTGCCCATAAGACAGGCATCTAATGGCTTATGGCTAGTTGAATTTTATTTTGAGGGCTAAATTACAGAGAGATCTTTCTTCCTGAAATTAGTTAAGACTCAATTTGTGTAGAATAAAAAATGGATTCCATGAAATCAGATAGTAGATTAAAATGCTTTTAGAACATTTTAATATAATTATAAGATGATTAAACTTAAATTCAGAAACTGAAGGGATAATTTTTTTTAATGGAACACTTGCTCTAAGTAAGACTATTAAAAGATTACATTGCATAAACAATCTGAAATTTCAAATGTAAGTAATAACAGAGATTGGAAGTTCTTTCAGGGGAGATTTTTAGACATCATAATTTTCTGAAACTGGCATATATTACAGAGGTAACTAATTTCAGATTTCTAAAGTTCTAAAAAGAATCTGTTTAATCTCTATCTCTTGTGTATTATCATGTAGAATATATTCATGTCCATATTATTTCTTTAAGTGAACCACTTGACTTGAATGAAGGAATATAATAGAATAATTGCATTGACTGAAAAGGCTGAGTATTTTTGGCATTTGAAATGGCCTCGGGCTTTCTATAACATTTTTGATTTTCTCTTTGGTTTTGCAGCAGTACTTGTGTAGGTTTTGTGTGTCTCTCATATTAGCTTTCCGGAATTGAGAGATGAGGTGAAGCCTGGAAAACTCCCCCAACAAGGTCAAGTTCCTGTTGACTAATTCTGTGATGACCAAGAACAGTCTCTGAGTCCTTGAGGCCAAAGTCTGTGGCACATGCTGTGCTTGGAGGTGAGTGTGGTTTCTGAGAGGCTTCAGCTCAGTGGATGAGGAGAGGCTCCAGGAAGCCTTCAGTCACACATTCACAAACCAGTGTGAGTAGAGGGTCTGTGGGTGTGATGAATGCCTGAATGACTCATGGGTGAGGGGAGTGGTAACAGGACTCTCCATCAGACACCACTTGCTATAATTTTCCTACGATATGCTTGGAAAGCCCCCCTCATGGAGGAGAGACAGGTTGATGTTTGTCTATTTCAAAAGTACTCTGGTAGAGAAAAGCATTTCCATTTTCAAAAGTCTGAGAATCCCTGAAAGGCTATCTAACTAGTCAATGTACTGGAGCCCATTCCCTCACACAAAATATTGCTCTTTCTCCCTCTTGGAGACTTGTGCTTCCTCCTAGTGCAAATTGAATCACCGGAAGTCCAAACCGGGGTTGGTTCTTCATTTCTTCTCTCAGCTGTGTCCTAGCTACCCAAGGTTAACCTCTCCATCTGGGTTCTTTATTTTATATTTTAAGATTATTTTAAAAAGTAAATGGAAGACTTGCTTCCCCCACCACCTTGCCATGATAAAGGTAATAACTTCTCATTATAGGAACATTGGCAAAGTAAAAAGAAAACAAAATTATTTATGGCTCCACTCAACCAAAGTAAGCCATCACTAATTGTTAGTGTTTTTTTTTTTTTTTTAATCCAAACTCCCTCAGCTCATACCCTTTGCTCCATATACAGCATTCAGTGTGGGGTTTTATCATATATTTTTAACTCCTTCAAGAGTTATATACAGGTCCAGTTTAGATAATTTGGTAGACGAAAAAATGTATATAGAAGAAAAAAATACCCATTACCAATATTAACATTTTATTATATTTCTCTACCAATCATGGTTCACTGTCAGTTAGCATGAAAAGTTTCCTTTATAACCAAAAACTTTTTGTAAACATTACTTTGAAAGCTGAATAAGAGAGAACATTTTAGGGAATCTATCAAAACTTTTTAAAAACAATGTCGTCAGAGTATTTCCAATATACTATTTGGTGAGGAAACAAAGCATATGGACCATCACGGAGAAGCCAGCATCCCAGAGTGACTTCTTGTGACTGCTTCTTCCCCCCTTTCTTCATTCCCAACATCCCTATCTATGACACTCGAAAGAAATTAGAAAACTTTTGTCTCGTTTTGATTTTTTCCTCCAAAGTCCTGCAAATACAGATTCCCTGAAAATATACCAAGATTTACAGGAAGAAACGGTAACTTGTATCCTCTTAGTCCTTTTATGTACTTTTTACTAGCTTTGTTTTATCTATCTTTATAGACATTTATTCTTATCTTTTATTTATTTGTAGTTCACATGGAATATTTCAAAACACAGATGATGATTATTTTTAACATAATAAAGAGTATTGAGTATCTTACAGAGGACGCTTAACGACTTTTGTACTTTTTAATTCCCATCCCTGATGGGACATGTGTACTTTTTAATTCCCATCCCTGATTTCACCCACCCCCCACCCTCCCCTCTGGAGATGTGAATTTTTTTATTTCCCTTTCCCTCCTTCCCTTGAGATATTACATATTGAGTTAACATTTGATCCACCATTTCCCAGATTTAAATGAGTATGTTCATTGTTTTAAGTAAATTTATTTTCAAATAATTATGCCCTTGTGTAATTCTTGAATACTATTTTAAAACTAATTCACAAGACAGTTTTGTGTAAAAATCAGCATTCATGATTATGCGCTCCCTGAATCCTTTTTGAACTGGAAGTGTGAGGAACTGGTGTATTGTCAGGTCTAAATTCTGGCAGTTTTGGTATTTTCTCTGAGAAGATGTGATGACTGAGCATTGTTTCTCCCAACACTGAGCTTCTTTTTTCCAGGTAGACATTTTGATGAATAACATGAGCAACTAAATACTCTGGATGTCGTCTCAGATTTGATTCTGCTTACACCAGTAGGTAGAGATAAAGACATTAATGAAATGAAGCAATCTGGACTCTGACTAATGAGCAGCGTGAGGGAGAAATACATCGAATGATTTCAGTTACAGCACTGGTGTAAAACAGAGGGAGTTTTACAGCGAGCAACTGAAGTGTTTGAGCTCAGAATTAACAGTTCTTTGCTTGAGGAAGGCATAGTAGAGGGTCCCATCATCCATTTGCTTTGTGAAACATCAATATTTTTCAGGCAGCTGAAACCTTTGTAGAAATGAGAAGATGGCAGGATGCCAATATAGGAATTTGCATCAGGGCCAAAATAGTGTCTAGAGAACAATTTGGTCTCTTCTGTAGCAATGTGGGGCCATTTTTCAGTTTCAATGTCTGACATAAGGAGTGATGACTTTATCACCTGCCTGTTCAGGTTTGCATGGAGTGGGTTGGGGCTCTGATGAAGATGGTCATGAATGAGCTTATGAATGTAAGTTAGGACTCCTATGGTCTGAGAGGTCTGACAACTTTACATTATTCATGGCCATTCTATGACCTTTGTTAATATGCACTGACACGCCTGAGTAGGGGACTGTTTCAGAGTGTGGGACTCTTATCTAGTGTGGGGACTCTTATCTATTGATTGAAATTATCCTTTTGAAAATCTAAGGCAAACGACTAGCAAAGGGATCAAAAGCTCTGATATCCCCCTTTTGCCTTCCTTTTTTTTTTTTTTTTTGCATGTTCTATCAACTGAGCCAGCCAGGAGCCCCTGATAACCCCCTTCTAGAGCATTAGTTATGGGTAGAGAAATATGGAAGATAGGATACAAAGGTAGTTTTGAGGGAAGATCCCAGAGAAGTCTTTAATTCAAAGTTAGAGAGTTTTGATTTTATTTCTTGACTGAGGGGCACCCATAAGAAAAAGTAAGAAGGGGAGTGACAGTGTATCTATGAAAAAGGACGTTTAATGAGACAGAGGTCTGCAGGATGCAACGGAGACAGAAACGTAGGGAAGGGTTAGTCAGTTGTCAAGGTGTTAGCCCAAAGTCCAACTTTCAGAAAACTGTTACCAGCCCTAGAAAAGGCTGGGCCTGAGAGAAATCATTAGACTCTGGAGGCAAACAACCTCTACTCAGACCTGGAGGGCATGTCCTTAAACTGCATCCTCAATCCAAGTAGAGGATACCAAGAACCATCTTGTGCAAATGAGAACAAATCTGTTGGCATGGGACAAAGTGTAGCCAAGGGAGACCAGGACTGGCAGCATGTCTACTGTAGGTACCTGGGCAGGGAAATGTTGAGGGTCCCCACAAAAGGGCCACAGCCAGCCTCTTCTCAGAGCCCTGAGACCCACCATCAAACCACTGGGGTCTGATGCCATCTGGTATAGTCTGGTGACAGCGCTAGTCACAACTCTTCTTCCGACTGACTTGGTTTTGATTCCGTTTTTTAATCATTTCGACCTACCTGATCATGTCATGGGTGTTCATGCATGATCAAGTCACAGCTGCCTTTCTATCAGTGACGGATTGGCCCCATTGCTCCCTGGTAGAGTTTCTTCCTCTCATAACTAAAGGAATCCAGAAGATAAGGGTATGATATGTCAGTGACAGTGGGAAGGTAGAAATAGGTGTGCATTAGAGAATCTGGAAGGTTGAATGGACAGAATTTGGTAGTAAATTGGGTGTGGCCATTATAGAAGAGAGAAGAGGCACTGCTGAGCCTAGGTCATGGTGTTCAAACCCTTTTGAGTTCTAAAGCCAAGGATAGTGTCCCTGGGTGGGGGGGGCGAACAAACCATGTGCGTACCTTTTGTCTATAAAACCAGGAGGTTTAGAGATGTTAGCCAAAGGTTCAGAGATCTTAGCCAAAGGATAAGAACCCCTTTTGTAGAGGAAATTCCTGAAGGTAGTACTGGATGACCTGAAAGATTCCTTCTGCTTCCTTAATATTAGGGTAGTTTTGGAACTTAAATATTACTATATTGTTGGGGCCATAGATAGCTACAAGGAAGTCAGGAGTATGCGCTGGTACTTGCTTATAGGAGACAAAGGGAGTATAGGGGGGAAATTTATTTTGTTTTAGACCCTATCAACCTTAAGTGCTGACAGGGCATTCATAAGGGGATTAAGGGGATGTTGAACAGATTATTAAAGGCACATCTTGGTAGAGTGTTTAGTTCATTGATCTGCACTGTCTAATATGGTAGCCATTGGCCACATGTGACCAGTAAGGATTTGAAAGAAATGTTTGCTAAGCCTCATTGAGATGTTCTGTGAGTGGAAAGTAAACATTCATTTTGAAGATAGGCCAAAAAACAAAACAAAAGAAGATGAATATTTCACTTTTAAAATATTGATTACATGTTGAAATCATAATATTTTGGATACATTGGGTTCAATAATGTATTTTAATAATATATAATTAATTAATACATAATTATATTATAGAATTAATATATAATTAATATATAATTTATTAGTTTCAGAGGTAGAATTTAGTGATTCATCAGCGGCATATAACACCCAGTGTTCATTATATCAAGTGCCCTCCTTAATGCCCATCACCCAATTATCCCTTCCCTCCATCCACCTCCTTTCCAGCAACCCTGTTTGTTTCCTAGAGTTCAGCATCTCTTATGGTTTCCCTTGCTCTTAATTTTCATCTTATCTCAGTAATATGTATTATGAAATATATATTAACTTCTTTTTAAATGTGGCTACTAGAAAATTTCACATTACATATGTGGCTTGTATTTGTGGCTTGCATTATATTTCTATTGGACAACACTGCTCTAGGGCAATGTTTATGGGTATTTACTGGTGACAACTTGGGAAGGATCGAGGTCTCTGGAGGGAGGATATAGAAAGGGAAGTGTGAAGGCTTGAGGACATAACTGTGGAGAATGTTCACATTCATAGGTCTAAAAAGGGAAGGAGGCTGGGAAGGAGCTGGAGAATGAACAGAAAGAATGAAGAAGAAGGTGCTGTCACAGGAATGAGAGGAAGAGGGAGCTTTAGCGAGGGGGGTCTAGCGAATAAGATTGCGCTAATTTGGCAATAATTCTCCAACTGCAATAATTCTATTGTTGTTGGAGAGTGCATGGATATTTTTACCCCCAGAAAGTGAAATAATCAAGTTTTAATTTTAGGAAGATGATTTTGGCAACAAATTAAAGCATCAGATTAAGGGAAAAGTTGAAGTCCAGGTGGCCAGTTAAAAAGTTAGGTAATAAGAGCAAACCCGAAGCCCTTAAGCATCTATAAAGCTGAACAGAAAAGAATCGTTTTCACTTTGAGAAAGAACTTTCTATTTTATTTTCTTGCAGTGAAAAATGAGGTGAGTAAGATTTTGGTAATTTAAACATGTGTCTTCTGTTTATAGAATCCAGGAAAATGGGTTGCAATGAAAATCAGTGTCACAAATGATTAAAGATGCTTTGTGTGAGAAAAATAGAAAGATGTAAAGAAACTAAGGAGACAGAAAATATAGGATTCATAAGAAACAATGGTTGTCTTTTTGTATAATTGTCTCACGTAAGAAAAAGAGAAAAGAACATTATTCCACATCCTTGAGAACATGACAGCAGAAAAGAATGGTTTCTAAAAAGAGTTTTTCTGGAGACTCCGGCTGCATAACTTATGACCATTTCAGATACTTGTGTTTACAAATGGAATGTACCGCATCCTACGATGTCCATTAAGCAGACATTTCGGTACATGAAATGATTTATTGGGAACTCCATTAGGGCAAAGAACAGATTGAAGTCTATAAAAGTATAAAATTCAGGGTATCAAGTAAAATGAGCTGAATGTTCCTATTTAAATTTATATTATAAAATCTTTGCTAGTTTAAAGGAAAAGAGGAAAAAGTAATGGCAGAAGAAAAGGAATGCAAGTGGTCATATGAGGAAATGAAACAAAAGGGAAGTAAGTGGCTGACCAATTAAAGGCATTTGGAAAATAGGTCAAATGGAGCATATGAGTCAGGCTCTGTGATGGAGACTGTACAGAATTAGCAGAGAAGCCATATATGTTGCAGATTAATAATTGTAATAGTAGTAATAAGAATAATAAATATCAGTAGCTAACATTTATTTAGCATATAGTATTTACCAGCTGGTGTTTATAATTTTTCACTTATTTATTTATCACAGTAACCTCACACAATAGGCATTATGTCAATGTTATAAAGGAGGCACATGGAGATTGGGTCATTTGCCAGGTCACACATCTAGCTCACTATATCTCACTGCTTCTGAAAATGTCAGGAAGACTCAAGTTGTATCAGGCAGCGTTGGCTGGGTTATGCTACGGTAAAGAATGACTCCAAAACCCTTAGTGGTATCTAACAATAAGGGTTTTTTTTTTTTTTTTTAACTTCATTACAGGACACTTGCTCTGCTTCATTTCTGGCCTTTGCCTGAAGAAGCAGTCCCCCTCTAAGATGTTGTTTAGATGTCTTTAGGCAGAGGAAATATAAAGCAATAGAAGAACCATGTGATGACTCTTACAGCTTCTCCTGGAAGTGGAATGTATCACTTTTTCTCACATTTCCTTTGCTTAAGTAAGTCATGTGGCAAGCCTGTCAATGATGTGAGAAGTGCAATACTTCTGTAGAGAGGGCCTTTGGAGTAAGAGGACCCACTGGGAGGGATTTTTGTCTTTTTGTTGTTGCTGTTATATGAATCTTTAGCTTTGTAAGGATGCAAATCAAGGAATAGTTATTTGACTTCGTTTCACACCAAGGAGTTAATTCTTAGGGGCGCCTGGGTGGCTCAGTCGTTAAGCGTCTGCCTTCGGCTCAGGTCATGATCCCAGGGTCCTGGGATCGAGCCCCCGCATCGGGCTCCCTGCTCAGCGGGAAGCCTGCTTCTCCCTCTCCCACTCCCCCTGCTTGTATTCCCTCTCTCGCTGTATCTCTCTCTGTCAAATAAATAAAATCTTTAAAAAAAAAAAAGGAGTTAATTCTTGGCTGTCAGTATTGAATGGGGAGTGACAGGGTAGCAGAGAGTCATGCAAGTGGGGGACTCTGAAATTGAGAACAGCCTCCTCTCATCATGATCAAGAAGGGCAGTGAGGCCACGGCCTAAATCATTGCTGGGCAAGGCACCTGGAAGGAAGACCAAGTTTCAACAATATGTAAGTTCACATATGACCGAAGGGAAGGGCTGATTGGCTTGAGAGCTGGTAGGGAAGATTAGATCAAGCAAGGTGATCACAATCTCAGGATCTGGTGAAGGCTGAAGCTTAGTTCAAGGGGGGGAAGCCAATTTTTGAGGGGGAAGGGCATGCCCTGAGTTCCTTTGTCTGGAAAACCCTCCCCTCCATGAATTCCTGGGGAGTGCGCTATGAACTCATAACAATGTATGCAAAAGAGGGACAATTATAGATAGTCCTATTTATTAAAATGTAGAGAGATAATGGGCCCAACCAGATCTATAGGAACCAAGTAATTAGAATGTGAACCGATGCAGACAGGTAGAGCAGACACCTGAGAAAAGGGGAAGGACAATTTAATTCTTTTTTTTTTTTTTGAATTAATGTTAAATTCAGCCTGAATTTTTTGGGTAAATTGCTCATTTTTATGCAAATAAATCAGTTTTAAAGACTCTAAAAATATTTCCACAAAGATGTAAATTGTTCTTGATGAATACAATAAAAGCGAGTAATGATCACTTTGTGGAACTTAGAAAAAATTCACATCAGGTGAGGGTATAACATTTAGAACTAAGACAATTTATTTTCCTTTCCAGTGTTAAAGAACTCTAAAAGCTACAGCAATAAACTGGAATATGTGGGGAATGGAGACAAATGTAAGATTTAATCTCATCACTCATATATGCGAGAAGTCCTAATTTTTGTGCATCCTTTATAGCGTTCTCCCACATACATGTAAAAGCTGTGTAATTACAGATCCCGTTTTCCATAAACACTCTTCCAGGTTGAAGCATAGTCCTTATGATTGTAAAGGCTGCGAA